CCAAAAATTAACCATTCACTACTACATTCTGGTTTCTGTCTCACATCTAGATTGGTATCCATGCTCACATTGCCCCATGGGCTTCAATCTTGTAAACATGTCTATTAAGTGATACGTTGTCAGATTTCTTTAGAAACTCCTTATATATGACATCAATCATTTTCAGCAACCCTTTTTGTTATTTCATCAAAGAACTCAAGTTACACAAAAACATATCCATGTAGACTTCCGTTTATAACTGAAGCTTTTCCCAGTGAGAATTATTTCTGACCTAGTCTCTGGTTTCTAGACATTTCTTGCCTGTAACTGGTCTGATGTGTAGATTGTCAGCTCAATATTTACTTTTAACATGCATTCTGTTTGTACTTCAAACTTCATTTTCAAAAATATTTTGTTTTGGAAAAGAAATTACCATGTAAGACAAAAGCTAATTGTATCAATCGAAGGGGGTGCTCATTATTGATTTCAATTGGTTTTAAGATTTGATAGAAAAAATTTCATGACTCCAAAATATCTGACAATAGTGCAATATTAACCTAATTTTATCATGCAACTTTGGCTTTCACTGATAGTTTAAGAATAAGCGAAAGGTGTGACTCTACAGCTATGATTAATTGTGAGCAATAGTGAGCTGGTTAACCTAACAAATCTGCAATTGCCAATAATAAGGCACTAGCTATTTGTGAAAATCTTGCGTATGTTTCCAAAACCAATTACAATAGGAAGGTTTGGTGCCCTTTGTAGGCCTCCAATTTACTTTAACCATCTCAAAAGAGCAAAGACATTTTATTAACTCGGGCCAGTGTGAGTATGCAAGTCATTATCTTGTTTTAGAAAATGACTTCATGAAAATAGGTCAGGGAAGTTAAGCTTGGCATTTGTTTTTACTTATTCAGCGGAGTACAACTGACTGGTGACAAACCTGAAAGGAATGAATTAAAGTCACTGACACCTTTTCATTTGGTGTTTTGATATGGGTGACATTGGTAAGATATACGAACTCCAAGAAGAGGATCATACGATTTCCTGTAACTATTATTTTTCTTTGTGACTTTTTGGCAGTTAAGAGTTAACCACCTGGGCCTGGAGTCAGAGCGGGTAGAGCAGTTACACTTGCCTGAAAGATGTTACTGATTTAGTTGAGTTTTTCTCTCTCAGCTGTTTAGGAGATTGAGGGGAAGAAATTCATTAACCCGAACTGTGCCACAACAGGATCAACAACCACTCAGCAGGACATGGACTGTGCTGCCAATAACTGTGAGGATCATGGCCTTCAAGTTCTATTGCAGTTCTTGTAGGTGCAATGCCAACATTTCCTAGTTCATTGTGCATTGGTTAATCGGGGTGTTTCCGACGTCCTTCACCATGGAGAAGCAGGAGCAGTGGGCATGTGGCATTGCCAGGCTAATATGATTCTCAATGATTGCAGGAAGCTATTGACTGCAGGAATGAGGTTCTCTGAGCTTCATATGTTAAAGGGCGAGGTTGCTGCAAGGTTATAGAAAACATTTCCCAGAACACATTATTCGTATGTGACCACATGCACTGCATCATGTCAGTGAATGCCAACCTTCCGGGCAACAGTCACAATGTTTGTATCACGCAGCAGCTAGTGGTACCCACTGTCTGGTTTACCCACTGTATACCTGACTCATGATCAGCACCTGCACTCAGCCATATATAGACAGCTCATATACAGTGAGAGTCTTGCTGCCAGTGGAGAATGCCAGACACTTTTTGGGGGTGGGGTGGACCTTTCAGTTCTTGCATAAGTACACATCCAAATTCGGGTGCATTGCTCCCTTTTGGAAGGGCAGAACCGTAGGCATAAAAGTTTTGACAAGCAACTCAGGAGCAGGAAGGGGAGGAGGAGGCAACTGTGATAAGATATTCAGGGTTAGCTTACTTGAAGACCCATGAGTGGTAATATTCTGGGATAGCTTCCTGAGAGCTAACACAAGAGCACAGGCAGATTGGCAATGGTGGGAACGTGACGCTACCATCCTGAGAGAGGACAGAAGGTTTGCACACATGGAGCCATTATCATTTACCTGGGCCATCAGCTCAGCAACCCTCATGATCTGCATGTGCACAGATTGCTGGGCTACTTTTAAGTGCGTGCAACCATTTGAAGAATCCACTCTGATATAAGGCAGCAGCCATCAATAGGGTAGCTGATAACATCACTGGCAGTGACATAAAGTCACGTGACATGTGTATAGAAGAACTTACTCCATTGTCATGCCATTTCAATCTCTAAGCAATACGTAAAACATTCACAGCCATGATGGTAATATGCTGAAATGTTATCACCCCAATCTGATTGGTGCTGAAATTAGTTTCCACATGGGCAACAATGGGATCTTAGACATTGGCTACCAGATGCTGCATTGGATTTGCAAACAGTTGGTCACCACTTTCAACTTGGAAAGGATGGACTCCAATCCCTGTGTCAATTTGGAACCAGTTTCTTCCATGCTTTTTATAAATGACAAAAGGCTCAGTGGCTGTTATGTTAATGCACACTACACCACTGTATGCATGCCATTCAACCTCTTTCTTTGCTCTGTCCCATCAAATTCCTCATCTGCATCCTTTACAATAGAATTATTACATCCTCACCCTCTGGGTGAGCTGGGACACTGTTGTTTCCCTGCCCTAGTTGCAACTTACTTGTGCTTGTGTCTCATCATCTGCTGATCCTGAACGTTTACTAGCCTCTAGAACATGTACAATAGGCACTTTACTTCTGATATCAATATGAGATGAAAAATTGGCCCACAAAGTCTAGTTGAACCAGTTCTCAACTGCAAGTTGAGACAGCTGGAGGGTAATTGACAAGAATCAGATCCTTAGCTTGTTTTGGGTCAGTCCAGTGCAACTGGTTTCATTTGAGAGCAGTTCGTTTGAATGTCATGTGTTCTAGCATGTTTCGTGCCAATACAAAATGAATAGAGGCCATAAAGTTTGCGTGCCGGCTATTTTAATCTTATGGTTGAATGGGTCTTAATCTCTTGTACTGGTCATACTTCATCCAGAATTGAGTGCCCTGTGTCAAGAATCAATTGATTGTAAATGAACTTAGTGTAACTCAAGGGATTTGAAGCAGGAAAACATTACAGTGTTATGTTGTTAATCACATCTTGTACAAAGTAAAATGGAAATAAGTGCTGAAAAACAGAACGGGAGTAGTTTGTGGTGTGTATTTACAGTTTTGTTTGTGGGTTAGTGGTTGTGCAAAATTTTAACACTAACTCTGAAATTCTTTTATTGGAAGTGTGATGTTCTATACAGCATTCTGTGCCATCCTTTGTCTGCAGTGGCATGTAGCTTCATGGGTTGTACTAGTCGGATAGATCCCAGAACATGAATCATACGGTAGTCTATTCCAGTGGGACTCTGACCAAACTTAGTTCACAAAGGCAGGGACCTTGGAACCTTTGTCTTCTCTTTAGAACGTCTAAGGTGTTAAGAAAGTACGAACAATCCTGCCTTCGCTGGAAGATCTTGCTTCCATGGCTCCGTATGAGCTGAGTGTGCTACTGGTGACTGGAATGTTGAATTTACAGAGATGTGCTGAGCGTGTGCATATGACCCCCTTCCCTATCTAAGGCCTCCATTGAACAAACTTGCACAGGGAGCTGATTGGGAATGTAGAGTCAGGTGTTTGATGGTAGTTCCCTGATAGATAGGCACTGAATTTTCTAGCTGCTGGAGGAGATGGGTATGGAAGGTGCCCCTATAGTGTTTGGGCACACAATGGCTCCATGTAATTTAAATGTCGTCCCACAAATCAGGGACATTAGAATGGAATAATTGCTATGGTGGAAAGCTTTGACTGTTGATATAATACACATATATTTAATGACTTTTTCTCTTTGGAATGCCATTGGACAAACTTCCGGGCCACAAACAGTTGTGCACTTCTTTTCTTTACATAGATACAGAGTTCAAATATGTTCTTCTTCATATTAAAGACTCCGAGCAGTTTTGGGCATGTCACCTTTCACTATGCCTGAAACGAGATGCAATTAGCATAAGATTAGAACATGGGTAGGATGATCGGGGAGTTCTGTTGTGTGGTTTTTACTGATGAAACTTGATTGAAAACCATTTCAGCAAGAACTGATCATATCCCAACATACAGTATTCAAAAACAAACTGAGAAACTATCATCCTTTCAGAAAAGCATTTCAAAACAGTGAAATTGGAAGAAAATGTTGGTAGAATTATTCATTTCCTTCATGATTGCTGTTTAATATGCTTCAAAATATATTGCACAGCTTTTAGGTAACCCACAATGGACAGTGTGAAGAGCAGCATTTTCTCTTTATAATTCAGATTTAAAATATCCACAAGTATTTTGCTTTTCGTCAAATCATAGAATCCCACAATGTGGAAGCAGGTCATGCAACCTACTGACCTTCCAAAGAGCAACATATCTAGACCCACACCCCCTGCTCTATCCTGTAACCCTGCACTTCCCATGGCCAATCCACTTAATCTCCACGTCTTTGGACTGTGGGAGGAAATCGGAGCCCCCAGAGGAAACCCACATAGACTTGGGGAGAATTTGCAAACTCCATATTAACAGTCACCCAAGGTTTTTGATTTGACAAAGAGCGCATTGATGAAGTAACTAATCATTTTGTTTTTCACCTGGCTTGTTGTTGCTCTACAGGTTTGTTAATGTGAAAGAATCAGTTAGAAAGAATCATTATACTGATTAGTCAAGTATAAATCACGTCATGATTCCTTGTTTACTAGTCTTGTTTTTCAAGATTCTTGGTGATTTTTTTTGGGTGTTTTGGAAATTGCATTCATTGATTTTTTTGTCTTTAAGCCAATGTTGTCTACTTCTTATGCAACTACCAAATATGATGAATTACAAATTCAGATGTGGCAAATATTCTTTTCGTTTAGTAAGTTTAAAAAATGTGTAACCAACACCGGTTTTGGCCTCTGATTTGAAACTTTGTTTTTCTCCCCTTCCCTTCAAGGAAAAGCCAAAAGCTAGTCAACTTGCTATCACAGAAGGTTCAAAACAAATGAGCTCAACTAGTAAGGTAAGTTTATCTGTATGATAACTATTGTTTAGTGAAATAATAAAGTGTTCATTCAAATTACTTTATCATATTGCACAGATGGGAAGGAAATTATTCAGCATATACCATTTGCCTCTGAGTTGCTTGATGCACTTGCTTGTTTACTTTCATTGACTGTGGTACAGGGATACCCAGATCCCTGTCTACATTTTCGAATATATCACCATTTAAAGAATGTGTTGACTTTCTGTCTTTCACACAAAATCATCTGTCATATGTTGGGCACGAGAAATAAAGAGGAACATAACTTGGGAATTGCCATCAGTAAAGTCAACAACTATACTTCGAGCACTCATAACATCCTTTTCCATCAGTTCAGTAGAACAGAGAAGCAGAATTCTACAGGCAGGGTTCATATTACAAAATTCATTGAACATATCCAAGTCTACGGCCCTGTACATTCCATTTTTTAATTCATTTAATGGATTTGTACTTCACTGGAAGAGCTGGCATTTATTTCCCATCCTTATTTACCTTTGCGAACGTGGTGGTGAGCTGCCTTTGGTGTAGGTACATTTGCATAGCTGTTACAGAGGAAATTCCAGGACTTTGAATTAATGACATAAAAGGTGATATATTTCCAAGCCAGGATGTTGAGTTGCTTTTGAGGGAAACTCACAGGTGGCAGTGTTCCCATGTATCTGCTGCACTTGTCCTTCTAGATGGAAATAATCGGGCTTTTGGAAGATGTTGCCTAAGACACTTAGTGAATTTCTGCAATACACCTTCTAGATGGTACACATTGCTGCTACTGAACATCAATGGTAGAGGAGGTGAATGTTTGTAGATGTGATGCCAAGTATGTTGGTTACTTTGTACTGGATGGTGATAAGGTTTTTGAGTGTTGTTGGAGCTGAACCCATCAAAGCAAGTGGGAAACATGCTATCACACTCCTGACTTCACCTTTTGAAGGTGATGGACAGGCTTTAAAGTGTCCAAAGATAAGTTGGTCACTACAGATTCCAAGACTTGCTCTTGCAGCCACAGTAAGTATTTACAAGCTGGTCCAGCTCAGTTTCTTGTCAATGGCAACCCTCAGGATGTTGATAGTCAGGATTCAGTGATGGTAAAGCCATTCAATTTCAAGAGAGAAAAGTTAGATTCTGTCTCGTTGAAGATGGTGATAGCTCGGCATTTGTGTGGCATGAATGTTACTTCCCACTTTCTGTCTAAGCCTGGATATTGTCCAAATTTTGCAGCAGATGGACACAGACTGCTTCAAGGCCTAAGGATTCGTGAAGGTGTTGAACATTGTGCATTCATCAGCGAACATTCCCACTTCTGACTTGATGTGTTTCTTGATGCAAGATTTGGCAAATACAATCTCAATATTGCCTGGCAAGGTCTATCATTCACATCTTTCCCCTGGATTTGAGCCTTTGTGCATATTTGGAAGAAGAATATAACAAGATCAAGAGATAAGTGGTGCTGGTGGAATCCAAACTGAGCCTGAGTGAACAGGTTATTTCTTTGAAGGTGTCTTTTGATATCAGTATTGATGTCTGCTTCCATCACTTTACGAATAATCAAGAATAGCCTGATATGGTTGTAATTAGCTGGATTGGATTTGTCCCTCTCTTTGGTGGACAATACCTGGGAAATTTTCCACATTGTCAGGTAGACGCCAGCATTATAGCCAGCGGCATGACTGATTGTGGAGCACCAGTGTTTAAGTATTGTTGTCAGCTTGCTGGCAGGACCCTTAGTCTGTGCACTATCTTGATATCGCATGGAGTGAATCAAATAGGCTGAAGGCTGGCACTTGTGATACTGGAGACTTCAGGATGAGACCAAGATGGATCATCCACTTACCTTGCAGCTCTGTCTATTAGCAGCGATGTACCAGACTCTCCTACCATGAGGATATGGATATTTTAGGATCCTCTGCCTCCTTTTAATTTTTAAATGTGCCATCGCTATTCATGATTGCATGTGGCAAGACTGCAGAGTCTATATCTGATTTTTTTTTTGTTTGTGGTATTGCTTATTCCATCATGCTGCTTCCTCTGTTTGTCACACAAATAATCCTGTGTTGTAGCTTCACCAGGTTGACACCTCATTTTTAGGTATGCTTGATGCTGCTCCTAAAATGCCCTCCTGCACTGTTCAACAAACCAGTGCTGATGTCCTGGCTGGACGGGAATGGTAAAGTGGGGGATAATTTTATTTTTCATTCATGGAATATGGGCATCTCTGGCTAAGTCCATTTATTGCCCATCTCTAGTTGCGCTGGAGGAGGTGGTAGTGAGCTGCCCTTTTTAAAAAAAAAACTGTAGTCTGTTTGCTCTAGGTTCATCCAAGTGCTGTTAGAGAGGTAGATTTCAAGATTTTGACTCAACAACATTGAAAGAACAATGAGGTAGTTAAGATGGCATACGGGACACATGCCTTTATCAATCATGGCATAGAGTATAAGAGCAGGGAGGTTTTGTTGGAGCTATACAGAACTTTGGTTTGGCCATAGCTGGAATATGTGTGCAGTTCTGGTCACCACACGAGTGGAAGGATGTGATTGCACTGAGGGGGTATAGGGGAGACTTACCAAGATGTTGCCTGGGATAGAACATTTCAGCTGTGAAGAAACGCTGGTTAAAGTCAGGTTAGTGGTTTGGAGGGGAACATGCAGATGTGGTGTTCCGAAATGGTAGTGGATGTGGGTTTGGAAGGTGTTGTATGAGGAGCCTTGGTGAATTCCTGTAGTGCATCTTGTAGATGGTACAGCTTGATGTTACAGTGTGGTAATGGTGGTGGAGGGAGTGGACATTTGTTGATGTGATATCAAGCTGCTGCTTTGACATAGAATCAGACAATACAAACAAGGCCCTTCAGCCATCAAGTCTGTACCAACAAAAATACTACCTACACTAATCCCACCTGGCACCAGGCCCATAGCCTTGAATGTTTTGCCACTTCACGTGTTCATCCAAGCACATTTTAAATGTTATGAGATTTCCGCACTCCACTGGCAACTTCTCAGTGAAAAAGTATTTCCTCATATCCCCTCTAAACCTCTTGCCAATTACTTTAAAATTATGCCCCTTTATTACTGACCATCACTAAGGGGAACAACTACGTTCTGTTCACCCTGTCCATGCCCCTCATAATCTTAAACATGTCGATCAGTTCTTCCCTCAACCTTCTCCGCTCCGAAGAAAATAACCTGACTTTATCCAGCATTTCTTCATAGCTGAAATTTTCTATCCCAGGCAACATCTTGATAAATCTCCCCTATACCCCCCTCAGTTCAGTCACATCCTTCCACTCGTGTGGTGACCAGAACTGCACACAGTATTCCAGCTATGGCCAAACCAAAGTTCTGTATAGCTCCAACAAAACCTCCCTGCTCTTACAATCTATGCCATGATTGATAAAGGCAAGTGTCTCATATGCTGTCTTAACTACTCTGTTAAGCAGCCCTGCTACCCGAGGGATCTGAGGACAAGCAGCCCAAGATCCCTCATTCCTCTGAGCTTCCTTGCCATTCGTTGAGTACTCCCTTGCCTTGTTACATCTTCCAAAGTGCATCACCTCACATTTATCAGTGATAATTTCCACCTGCCACTGATCTACCCTTCTGACCAATCTGTTTATATCTTCCTGTAGAGTGACACCTTCTTCCTCACTGTCAGCCACCCGGTCAATCTTCGTGTTGTTTATCCTTCCCATATTCTCATTTCCATCATTTATGTCCTGGATGGTGTCAAGCTTCTTGTGTGTTGTGGAGTAGCTCCCAGCCAAGGCAAGTGGGGAGTATTTCGTCACACTCTGACTTCTGCCTTGTAGATGGTGGTGAGACTTTAGGGAGTCAAGAAGTGAGTTACACACCACATAATTTCCAGCCTCTGGCTTGCTCTTATAAACACAGTATTTATATGACTGGTCCAGTTAGGCCTATGGTCAGTGTTAAATCCCCAGGATGTTTGTGATGAAGGATTAAACTATGGTAATGCCATTCAATGTCAAGATGACATTGTTATGTTTGCTGTTGTTGTTTATCAGTCTAAGCCTGGTTGCTGTCCAGGTCTTGCTGCATACGCACACAGACTGCTATAGCATCTGAGGAGTTGCATATGGTACAGAACACAATGGAATCATCAGTGAACATCCCCACTTCTGATCTTATGGAGGGAAGGTCATTAATAAAGCAGCTGAAGGTACTTGGGCCTAGGACTCTACTCTGAAGAACTCCTGTAGAGATGTTAAGGAGCTGAAGCAATTGACCTCTAACACCAAAAACCAACTCTGTCTGTGCCAGATATGACTTCAACTAGTGGAAAATTTTCTCCTGACTCCCAGTTTTGCTAGAGCTTCTTGATGCTACACGTTGTCAAATGCTGTCACTCTCACCTTACCTTTGGAATTCACATTTTTTTTGTCCATATTTGATCTAAGGCTGTAATGAGGTCAGGAGCTGAGTAGCTTTGTTGGGACCCAAACTGAGTGTCATTAAGCAAGTTATTACTGAGCAAGCGCTGCCTGATAGCACTGTTGATGACACCTTCCATCACTTTATTGATGATTGAGAAGACACTGATGGGACAGTAATTGGGTGGGTTGGATTTTTCCAGCTTTTTGTATGGAGGACATCCTGGACAGTTTTTCACATTGTCAGGAGATACCAGTGCTGAAACTGTACTGCAACAGCTTGTCTAGGGACATAGCAATTTCTGCAGCACAATTGCAGATATGCCAGGCCATGTGTTTGCACATAGTGTTTGAACACAATTTTGTTGCTGCTGCTAATAGCCCACAGTTTCATATGAATGCCCAGTTTTCAGTTGCTTAGATCTGTTTGAAGCCTGTCATTTAGCATGGTGGTGGTGCCACATAGCGTGATGTAATGTGAAGGCAGTCTCCACAAGGTCTGTGCAATGGTCCTTCCTGATTACTCTCTAGGACATGGTGATAAGCTGTCTTGATGAACTGCTGCAATCCTTGAGGTGTATGTAGCACAGCCAGG